TTGACGTCGGTATCCGGCGCTCTCATATTTTAGGCCCTAACATACTCCCTAAGAAGGGGGTTCCTTTGACGTCGGTATCCGGCGCTCTCTTATTTAGGCCCTAACATACGCCCTAAGAAGGGGGTTCCTTTGCCGTCGGTATCCGGCGCTCTTTATTAGGTCCAAATATACTTCCTAAGAAGGAGGTTCCTTAGTCGTCGGCATCCGGCGCTCTATCCTGTATCCAATATTTAGCTGTATCTTAACTAGGCTAACGTGATAGGTTATAACATTTATTTTCCCAATTTTCCAATTAAACCATTTTCCTCCTGGATCTCGGTCACCAAACAACCAAATGCTGTGCGATGCGCGATTAAATACAGTCCACACCATGAAAGGAGATTCGAACGAAAGCGTCGCCAACACCTTCAATCGGTCAAATATCGACATCGCTCCCTCAGTCCTCCCGCGGGACGTGCCTTGTCGACGTCGGCAACCCCGCTATCTCGCTGCTCCCCGTCGCTGACAGGAGCTGCTCCCGTTGCTGACAGGAGCTGCTCCCGTCGCTGGCCGGGGCCGTCCCGCGTCGAGTTCGACGACCGGCGGTGTCAGTTCTCACGGCCCGGGGACCCGACGGCACCCACCCGGCGGCGCCACACTCCGGCTGGCGGGCGGGCGGCGGCCGACAGCCACCTAATTCGCAGTTTGTTCGACGCCCCGGCCAGCGCGGCCTCTGGCTTTAGCGATTTGTCACACGGCTAGAATGGGCCGCTGAGTCGGCCGCACCTCAGCTAATGGCACCGGCCGAGCCACCAGAAGGTCACGACTGGGTCCACACGGCTCCGCAAACAGACAGAAATAGGCTGCTCCTAGTTGTGTGTCCTTCTAGACGTGGATAACATAACAGACTTCATAATGCAGGCATCGTACGCTTTCTACAACATATTGCACCTTTGACTCGAAAGATGCCTCTTACTTGGCCCACAAAATTATTTGTTGAGAGAAGCTCAAACTTAGAAAAACTCATAAGGACATATTATTTGCGTCAATGTGACATTAAAGCATGCACCTTTGCAGGGCTGCGGAGTCGATAGATTTTCGGCGACTCCGACTCCGACTCCGACTCCGGCTTTCAAAAATCAGCTCCGACTCCGACTCCGACTCCGGGCAGAATTGTCGACTCCGACCGACTCCAACTCCCGACTCCGACTCCGCAGACCTAGCAGGGCTGCGGAGTCGACAGATTTTCGGTGACTCCGACTCCGACTCCGGCTCGGGTTTCTAAAATAGACTCCGACTCCGACTCCGACTCCGGTCACAACTGTCGACTCCGACCGACTCCGACTCCGACTCCGACTCCGACTCCGACTCCGCAGCCCTGCACCTTTGCCTGTAACATATGTCCACTTATTACGCCTTTTAGATGTCATTGTCCGTAGTGCGTAACTTCTTGTTCCGGCAGCTGTATGGTAATCGTGTATATGGTAATCGTGTACTACTCGTAAATATGATTACCAGATGCGTCGAGAAAACTATCAACTGAGGATAGTAGGATTTCACAGTGTAGTTTATAACCTATATGTTAAGTTTAATTGTAAGCTCTATCGATGAGCAAATGTGGGTATGTATTATGCATTCATAATTAGATGGCTAGAATAGAAAGTAAAATTAAAAGTCTTACGAGTAAAATCCCAAGTCCAAACAATAATGATCCGTCTAGATAGATACAGTATTATTGCTAATGTCAGATAGCTGACAAATAACGTGCATGATATCCCAAACGCTGTAATCCGCCTGTTGTATCTCATGCATGTTGTACGGCGGAGATGCAATATATATTGGATGAAAAAATGTATACCTTTGCCGAGGGATAAGAACTAAGAAGTAATAAACTTTTAGTCCTATCAACCAAGCTTCCATTCCCTTGCGTTTAACCATGGTTTAACAGAGCAGACTGCAGTTTTTATGCTTATCACGACTTTCTGACGCGAATACGAACAATCACAATAAGCGTGCTTTGGTCGTTACCGCACACGGCTTGTCCAAATCATGCGTTATCAGATAAAAATAGCTGAGCTCTCAGCGTTAATTTGCGGCGTACGCCACGGTGGAACGCATGTCGCATAGATCTTGCAACGACGTCCGGGAAATCAGGTCACACCAGCGAATCAGCTTCACATCAAACAGCTGCATCGGTTCTGATCTTGGGTGCACTGCTAATCAGTTCAAGTATTGGGTAAATCAGGTCAGCCGAAACACTTGGTACAGATGTCAGGACTCAGCGCCGGGCACAGCGCCTGTCCCGTGAGGCAGACGCCGAGTTTGATGTTATTTCCGGTTAGTTCGCTCTCGGGTGAGGCTCAAACGTGTTCAAGTGTAGTGCTCGTAGAATGTGATGAAGCCAGATGTGACGCAGAAGGCAGATTACAGATGATGGTGCAGTGTCGACCAGTCGCCAACTGTCAAGTCAGGTATGGACATAAGATGGTCCCACTCTCGGTCTCGCATATTGTATGTATAAACAATTTTGAAGTTAATTGATGATTATTGCTACAACATCGACAAGAAAAGGAGCTTATACTATAGGTACCTATCAAAGTCAATAGATCGAACCCACCTAATAATAATAGCTGACATTATAATAAATTAAGCATGATAACCATATTTAACCATCCATGCTCCTCATAGCCTCACGAGGTCAGGAAATGCGTCATGGCACAGAGGGCGTTTTTAGTCCCAGAGCGCTTCTCCATTGTTGACACAAGGTCTCTCCCAACAATGACAATCCACTTGACGGTTACGGAAGGTCACAAGGTCAACATTCGCAGTTATTATACGTGAGAAGCGACCATAAACGTCAGTAACACTCACACCATTGAGGCCCAGCCAAGTTAGCGATACCCTTGTGACCTTGTCCCTGCAACCCGGACACCAGGACTGCGGAGTCTGAGTCTGAGTCTGAGTCGGAGTCGGTCGGAGTCGACAGTTCTGACCGGAGTCGAAGCGGGTCTCGGAGTCGATTTGGGAACCCGGAACCGGAGTTAGAGTCGGATTTACCTAAAATCCATCGACTCCGCAGCCCTGCCAGGTCTGCGGAGTCGGAGTCGGAGTTGGAGTCGGTCAGAATCGACAGTTCTTCCCGGAGTAGGAGTCGGAGTCGGTTTTTGGAAGCCGAGTTGGAGTTGTCGAAAGTCCATCGACTCTGCAGCCCTGCCGGACACGATAGAAATGTCTGTGGATCAGCCGCAAAAGGCCCGTGCTTTCCCACTATTTCTGGCGATCGCGCTGCTCAGTTTCCCAGTTCCGCCTGCAGGGAGTGGGACTAGTGAACGGCACGTGACGGCTCTCCCAAGCGGATGTGGCAGGCTGCACTGATGTCTGGTCTGGTACATACCATGTTCGTGGGGGAAAGGATGGTTGACTTGTGAGGGGGAAATCCCTCACACTATTTGTATCGCACTATGATAGCCATACTTTGATGTGGTTTTATTGGCCGTGGCCCGTGGTTATTCGTTCGGAAAGCACATGTTTTTATGTATGTCATCATGCATGAACAACATTTACGGATTTGCCTGGGGAATAGTTACTTCGTTACTAGCCCTCGCACGACCAGGCCATTTCTCATAACACGAACGACCAGGGGGGGGGGGGGGTTGTTACGACCCCCCCTGGCGTTTCGAAACGGAAGGTCGTAGAGCTTAGCGGAAAAACCAACGGAATGCACTCAACGAGATCTCGCGATTGGTGGTATATTTTTTGGTCCTAGGTCAACATTTGACCTACTTATGACCGGTCAAAGGTCAAATTTTCGGAAAAATCTAACTTTTTCATATTTCCGCGCCGATTGCGGCAAAACGGTAAGAGATATCGACTTGAAACCTTCACTTACGTGATCCTTGATCAATTCTCTATCGTTTGGTGTGTATTTCGATGTCATAACTTTAAAAATGATGCGTTGGGAGCATCGGAAGTCTGCAAGGTCATTTGTCCATTGGGTCACGTCAGGCGTGTGACGTCACTGACCTGACCCTGACCCAAAATGAACTACAAGAAACAACCGACGATGCCTGAAATGGATAGTAAATTCGAATTCAGGGCATCAAAATACCCCGAAATGGCATACAAGTGCAAGAAGTCATTACAGGTCAACCGAGGTCAATGACCTTACCTTGACCTTTAGTGACCTTCAAAATGTCAACGGACATTGTGCCAATGTCAAATCAGCCAGTTGTGATTCTATAAAACAATTCATCAGTGCGTCAGGTCAGTCGGCATTTATACCAATGTGAAGCAATCTCCAATTTAGCGTAAATCTGGCCGGAGGTTGTTCCCTTTATGACGTCATAACTCCGTGACCTGACATGACCTTGACAAAAAAATTACCAAAAGTTGCGCAAAAGATGCCCCAAAGGGTAACTGAAAAGTTGAGCAGGCTATCTGAAACGGTTCGGCGTGTAGCTAAGAAAAACCTCGGGGGGGGGGGGGTTGATACCCCCCCCCCTAGGCGTTCTAGGGCTAGCATAGCCGTTCCACTTAGGTATGCGTTTTTCCTGGGCATGCACGACTTTAGTTCGGTAGTTTTTATGCATCCAGACACATGTAAATATAGGTAGGTGGTTTGTTTTACGCTATTGTAACCAGGCGTGAGAGAAGCTCCATCTCTTCACCATCAGAGAGTTAGCTTTGAAATTCCTTCAGAAAGAGAAAGGCCGGGCCAATTATACCACAGATGATCCACCCATGTGTGTCGAATCCGTTATGAGTTGATTAGGCCTCCGTCGCATTCCGTGAGCGAGTAACCAGAGCGGGGCGGCCTCCGCCACGGCGGCTTTTATCTGGGAAAATGTCTGGCATCGCTGGCAAACCATCCATGCCGGGGCAATTATCAATCCTCTCCGCAGCCAGGTAATTGCGCCGACCTCCCCAGTCCCCAGTACCTACACGCCACGGCAGACTGGCCTGCCATCTATCGGCCCGATTCTAACCAGTGGCGGTCGCCGGTCGGCGCGGCGGCGGCAGAGGCGGACAGTCGTGTGGGGTCGGTGTCTAGGGGTGGCCACGCTGCTGTCTCTCGTGACCTGTGGTTTAGATCGTGCTTCTCGCACTGCAACCGGCCAGCGAGGCTTCCCAACACCAGAGGAGGAGCTCTGTCCTATGGAGGATGCAGCCGCCGGCTGTGCACGCGTTTGTCCTCTGGATGGTCGTCGTTTCAGGTGAGTGCCCGTGAAGAACGGGATTGAGATACGATTGTCCTCAGAGCATGCTGCAGGGACTGGTAGTATGGTGTGGTACCGTTTGGGATTCAAGAAGCGGAGTACTATGTTTGGGAAATACGACTTATCATTTAAACTAACATCTAGCATGGCAATTAGACACGGAGTGCCGCTGGGTTGTGACGTTTTTACAATCTGTAGTTTATTCTTGGTAAGATTCTTTTGCTACCTAACTATTCTTTCCCGTTTATGTATTGCAGTAGCGGTCACGCCAATCTCTCTTGGATCTGTCATGCCTAACTAACCGGAATGAGTGTATTAAACGACGGTGCTTAATACACACATCCCGGTTAAAATACACTCATTTAGAAGTTGAATAGAATATTTTAGAAGCTGTTCTTTTATTTCATTGTCATCACACATTTCCTTGCAATTAGTCTCTTTAATAAGCCTTCCGCTTTGAAGTCAGTTTATATAGAACTGAGAACAAGTCCGAAATGACGGCCACCGATCTAAACATTGCAGTTTTGAATGTTTTCACTCTGTTAAAACGAAGCTGAAAACACATCAATTTATTATAAGAGCTATTACAACGATGCGTCTAAAGCCGATTAAGATTGCGATTGCTGGCGACTTAACGAGTGCTTCTATATGCTGTGCTGAGATTAGGATCGAGATAGCAGAAAAGCCTTGTTCGATACTTTCCTTTAATTAAGTATGAACATCGACACGTTAGTCGTGAATGTTTTTCTATTGCACGATATTTGAGCTGCGCAAGAGACAAGCCTCCCGCTTGTTTTTCACCAGTAATACGTGCTCAAATAGCAGTTGATTGTTTGGACAAGCATCGTTGGAGCCAACTCTCACTGTTGGCTACACATAAATCTTCGAAGTCATTTGTCTTTTTGCGCGGCGCGGCACTCGATAGCAACAAGTCGCTTCATTTGGTTTGACATTTCTTTCACAATAACAGGTCAGCCGATGCCAATACCAACTTACCGGCTTTTTTCGGCACCCAAAATTGATTGGACAAGTGAGACTTTGATCAGATATGGCAAACGAACAGCATTCCGACAGCGTCGACCTGAGTCCGGTCTCGTGAGAGGCGCGTGCTCGACACGTTTGCAGCTGTGTTGATTGTCGGTCGTGACTCTTCCGACACGGGTGCAGGGCGGACCGTCCGCGGTCCGACCTGCCGCGGGTCCCGCAGAGTGACGCCTATGTACGACTGGCCAATGTAGCCGATTACAAGCGTGGATTACACGTCTAATTGGTATCGCTTTCCCGTCTGATACCCTACCGGTTGCACTAATCCTGCAGCTCAGCTAGTGATCAGCGGGAAACAGCTAAATGCGGTGTGCAGCTTCACCGACACCGGATTCAAACTAGTTCCTCCCAAAAAAGGCTTATAAAAGCGTCTTGTTAGGCCTTAGCCAGCCCCATCTCGAGTTATGCTCGTTTCCGAATTCGAATGCTAAGATTTGATGACACGTAATTTCAAAGGACTGGCCATGGGAATCTGAGATGTTCACATTCAATAAAACCTGAATCCCACGGTATACTGCCCTAGCCGGGACCCTTTTCTGTTACGGTCATCGTCACGCGTCACGCGGCTATCACCACACGTCACTCATCCCTTGTCACACTCCTCCCAAGTGTGGGTGTGTGGGCAAGTGAGCTTATCCCCACCGGGAGGATCACCCCGACTACCTCCCCGAGAGCAGTTGTCGCGGCGGTGCGGCCGAAAGGCGGGCGGCCGCGTAAATCACCGTTTTTGTCGCCGTGTTTTTACCGATGCGCACGGCCACCGGGGTGGCGCCCAGGGTCGGCCGGCTAACGTCCGTACCGGTGACAATGGAACCCGTACGCAGATTGCCCTCTTGGTGGAGGCGGTCGGCCGGCGGAGAACTCCAGTCGGCTAGCTGAGTCGACTACAGTCGGACTGTGAGAGACTGGCGCGGAGCGCGGCGAGCCGGGACACCGCGGGATGGCGTCCGACCGTCACATTACCGGTGTGAGGTGTGAGGCCGACGGGGCCGCCCGGTGCGGACACAATACCACATAATGAGACGGTCCGGCCATCGGTGTCGGCCGCACACACTGAGTGTCACCCCGTGAACGGTTCCTGCGCGGGAGGTCGCACCGCGACACATCGGCTCGACCACAATGGAGGCGAGCCATGGGCGGAGCGGGGCGAGCGAGGGCGCGGCAAGGAAGACACCGCCGCCCGGCGATTAGAGGGCGATCTTATGGGCGTGGGTGTACACATGTGTACCGTTTGTCAAAGGATGTAGGTGGGAAATGATGGACGATGAAGTCCATGTGGTTGCAAAAAAACATTTTGTCCCTAAGTCTCCAATTTCATTTATTCTGTAACACACAACAAAGCAAATTTCCTAACGCAGACTGCGTTGGAGGTTCTATCTACAATTTCTTTCAGTTTTTTGCGACTGTAATTCAACGTTAAATGTCAACCATTCATGCGACATCTCGGTGCTCGCGCATCATTTCAGTTCTCATGACGTTCCTCTCTTCCTCTGTCTGTCGGCGGCGGCGGTTAGGAGGTTGGGCAACCCCCGGGGTGGGCTGTCGTCATTAGGGATCCGCGTCATCAGCCGCGGGCGGCCCATCCGACCCTGTCCGTCCGACCCTCTGTCAAAGAGCGGCCCCAACCGCCGTCAGACCTCCTCCGTAATTACCCGTCCTCAAGAGAGGAAAGCTACTTGTTGGCTCGAGAATTGGACGACAGTGCCGGAAGGAGCGCGCATTAGATGAACCAATATTGGAGAGAGCCTAATGTCTTAATTACTCCATCTGTTGATGGACCTGGGTGGGTGTTTACTCTCTCGTTCTTGCCTTTGTGGGTCGAATAGTTACTGATTTTTCTGTCCACCACATGCTCCCTCCTCACTTCTACTTCTGTTTCACGATGTCTTCTGGTGACATTCTCCTCTACTCCTCTATTCCTTATCGAATTGCCCCGCCCTGTTCAAGTTGTTCCACCCTGCCTTACATATGCTGTAGATAGAATATCGATAGTTAGGTACTACCATCACCAGGGCTTTACTGCATTTGTGATGTCTGAACTAATATACGATATATACGAATATACGATATACTCTCTAGCTATGTTACATTCACAATCGCCCCAAACTCTCTTGAGTGAATTCCGTCGGGCGACTGGTGGCCAGGGGCAGTGAGGCCACGCTAGCCGTATCACAGGTAATGGTAAGGCTGCGCGCCGATACAGTACGGTAACTACCCCACCGTGATAGACCCGAGTGGCCCGCTCATCCAGGCCTTCAGCTCTTCGATACGTGAGATTCATCTCAGATAACGACACAGAAGTCGTTCAAACTTAATGAAAGAGAGAGAGAGAGGGAGAGAGAGAGAGAGAGAGAGAGAGAGAGAGAGAGAGAGAGAGAGAGAGAGAGGAGAGAGAGGAGAGAGAGAGAGAGAGAGGGAGAGGGAGAGGGAGAGGGAGAGAGAGGGAAAGAGAGGGGGAGAGAAAGGGAGAGAGGGAGAGGGAGAGAAAGAGAGAAGTATAGAGAGAGTGAGAGATAAAATGCAATATATCTCCTTCTCTCCTTTCGTTCTACCTCCCCGACTCTTTTTCTCATGCACGTCATTCCTTCCTTTTCTCCCGCTCGTCGCTCCTCTCCATTCCTTTCCCTTTCTTTCTGAATAGCAATATCGGTGTCCGCTGTACGTGAGCAATACCCTGGAAAGATCAATGGCTAATGTGATGTATCCTGCATGATACGGCGTAATGTGAAAGGCTCTGCTCTTTCGTTAGCGTGCGATCTACCTTGCATAGCCAAACGTCTGAGGGCTTGCCAGGCATACAACATCTAATATTTGAGGAAAGAAGTCGAGAACAGTAGACTGTGCATTGTCTTGTTTTCCCGCATCATTTTCTCCCACATAATTGCGCCACATGTTTTCCAACCAGATTTAAAATGCGCGGGGGGCTGGTCCGGTTTATCGTTCAAATCTTTTGACAATGCGCCTTGATGCTGTGAAAGCATTGCTTTGTTTAAGTGCACTTTTTACCGATGATTTTATTTGTCTTTGGTAGTGTTCATCACTTACCTAGTACGAAAATTTTACCAGAGCCTTTCCGGATGCTGAAGTATTTTAAGCTGGAAATGAGTAAAACGTGGAGAAAATAAAATGCATATATCATCAGTTTTATATTAAACTGAAATATCCGGACGAACCACACAGCTCCCATCATTTCGTCTCGTCCCGTCGCCACGCCGCCAGCCGTGCCACTGTGTGACGCCATAGTGACGTCACGAGTGGCGCCGACTGCTCTGCTGGGCGGCCAATTTGGTCTGCGCCGGGCGGGCCTTATCGCCAACTAAGGGCGTTATGAATCAGACCCCGTGTCCGGCGGGTCTGTATTCAGGGCACGGCGCCGAAACCACGCCGTTCTACGTAAACAGAACCACACGTAACCACAGCTACCGGTCGACTTCGGGAGTGTGTGGGTGCAGCGATAACAATATTGGACTATGAAGATCGACTTCATAATGAGGACAGTGAAAATGTGTTGCAAAACCCGTGGATAATGGCTGCGGTGTTTGCGGCAACATTGAAGTAGCTCGTTAGCTGTGGTAACTGGAATCGTACTACAGATTATTTGTGGTTTTGTGCATTCCTTTATCTAATTTATCCAAAACCATGACAATTCTATGTCTTTTTTAGACTTGCAAGCAATTTGAAATAGCTTATAGATTTTGGCTTAGAGGATTCTATGTTTGGGATTACATGATGCTGGATTGGGACTTTGATTAACTTTTTTGGAATCCATGTTTGTTGCATTGGTATGAAAGGTTATTTCTTTCTCATCACCCATAATTACCAGATGAATACATAGTTTTCAGCCAGTGCTGACAGCGATATTCTTGCAATGGTCAGCATTTTTATTGTCGTTAGTCGGTCGGTAGTCATTAGTGACGACAAATACCAAGCTTTCATAGGAAATTAAGTGCCTT